TGAGAGGCTACTGAACAATTGGTTGAGGGGAGAGTGCCCCAACTCCCAGTGAAGTTTTTGGGCTTAAATTAAATATCAACTACAGGCTTAATTTTCTCACTCAGACACTAGTTACAAGAGACCTGCTGGGAACAAAAACAGCCTGCACTATCTTACTACTCGAAATAAGAAGGTCAAATATAACCAAGACGTGTCATCCAGTCTAGCTATTTGTTATAGGGTTCCCCAAGGATCCATACTGGGCCTGACACTGTTTGTGATATGCACCAATGATCTCTCGCAAAGTCTAATGAAGTCATCAATCGGCATGTATGCCGACGATACGATTATTTATTTCTTTGATGCCAATGCAGAAATCATTAAGTGGCTTCTTTAAAACAATGGAAAAAATATGTTGAGCAGCCAATGGCTGATAGGGTTACTCTGCTTAAATACAGTTTGCTTGACGCGATATGACTTGATTACCGCCAACAACCTGATCTTTGAGCCTAGTTAATTGCTAAGTGCGATGAACAGTTAGTTTAAATTTCCACTGACAGCTGTTTTTTAATAGTGGAGCGTCCGCGAAGCGCGCGCAACGGAGCCGCCATTAACATAGAAATCCATCAATGCAAGAGAATTTGTGATGACGCCAGCGTACTAACGCCCGCCCGCCAGTACAGACTGTGGGGCCTGATAGGGGAGGGGGCTTAGTAAGGAAGGGAGAGAAGTCCCAAAAATGCACCTTGCGTTTGTAAGCGCAGAATTAACCATTTTGGAGGCAGCCAATGGATTTACTCCATTAGAAATCTACACTGAAGTTTCTTGGGTTTGACTTACGACAAAAACGTTTGAAAAATATACTTTTCAGGATTTGCTTAAAGCTTGATCACCCTTTTGTTCACGCTCCAGGACCAATTTAATCGCAGATTGGTCAAAATTTTGACAAGTGAATTTGTGCGAAAAAACTATGCAGCATCTAGAAATTTTTTACCGACAAGTGAACTGAAATTTTGTGTTATCTCAGTTGTAATTTTAGGTTTTTAATTTTTCGTCTACTTCTACGGCCCCGCTACAAAATGTATTTTTCTGTGAAACAAAGCAGGATGGATAGTTTATTCATTTGGTTTGTGTGTTTGACGTTTTTGAAAGTTGAAGTGGGCTTTTGAATCAGAGGATAGTAAAAACCTTGGGTATTTGTGACCTACCTGTGGGTATTTCTTGGGTATTTCTTACGTATATTGTGTATTCAATGAATGCCTTGCCCTGTAACAACTCGTATCGCGCAGTTTGTGTTGACAAAATTAAATAGTCATTCCGGCGTAGGGCGAAAATCAAACGGAAGGGACATATTTACTGTCTTGCCGTCTATCCCGAGAGGAAATAAATAGTACCTTTCAGTAAAGGGTACCATCAATAATCGTGATGGATTAATGTTAAAACTGATTTACACTCAAAGGTTTGTCCGGGCCCGAAAGGTAAACATAAACTCAAGCTTACGGCAAACATAAAACCGCTCAATTTTTCATTTAGGACTTTCCTTTAGACCGAACAATCGACTCAGAAATAATAACCTGTAAATTGGCGGCCAACGAAGAGCCGTGAATTAAAAGAAGCCTTTGCAATATTAGATTTAGGGGCTGACCAATAATTTCACAACAGATTGTGGTCGAAGGTCCTATGATGTAGTTTGGGCAAGAATTCTTATTCAAGCCTACTAATGTGATCGAACATTCATAATATATTTTTTATTATTATTATTTATTTATTTATTCTTATTGTATTTTATTTTTTGCTGCAAGATATTTAGATTGATGGACGAGATTTTCTTGTCTATGGTGTGTTTATGGGATTTATATTCTCTGAAATCACTCAACCCTTTGCTAAAGTAGAAAGCTCCTAATGTTGAGTATATATTTGCGGATTTCTTTGTCATGGCGTAAGGTTAATGGGTTTTAAGTTTATTGTATTATTTTAAATGTACAAACGGACGCTTCGCTTTTAGGCTTGGCTAAATCTTTATATTATTAAAAAGTGCATAAAGGTTTATTACAAATTGCGACAGGTGCTACAATGTGCGTCAAGGTTTATTAAAAATTGCGGCAGGTGTTACAAGTGCAATGATTAGTACAAATATCGACAGTACACAGGTCTGCATAGTCGTTAGACCTCTCTCCAAGAGTAAGACACCAAGAAAAGTTCGATTTGTATGCCACAGCTTTGGAGCAAAGGGCCACGAACCCCGCTACCTAAATAGAGGACGTATATTCACCTTTCCCGGCAAAATCACAAGAGATACCAGGTAGATTTGCCTTTCCCGTAATTGTCATCAGGTACATTTGGATTTTTGCCACTTGCTTAAAAGCGAGACTAAACTGAAACAAGTGTTGAGTAGAGCCCTAATTTAGGCGCAAACTGCACCACTATAATTCGGCTATACGGAAGGCTACCTTTTTCGTTGTATTTAATCGGAAGTAACAAAATCTGAACAATTATAAATGGTGAATCGTGCAATGCACGGTTGTCTAAATTGTCTTTGCTGGTAAAATTGATAATGGTATAGATTTTAGCCGGTTCCAGGCAATCAGATGTTGGAGAGAGTGACGAAATAGGGCAGCGGTGCAGACTTTCAGGCGCTGTTCTGGAAAATGAACGTAAAGTTACAGGGGCTTGCCAGTTTACCTCGGAAAACTAAGGGTATTCTAACAGACAAGTTATACTATACTGACAGATTCCGGTCAGCTTTTGAAGCTGACTGGTAGCTGAGGTATAAACGATTGAAAACTCACTCATTACCCTCTCCGCTAAGCCATCTTTCCCTGTCTTTGGCAAAATCATTTAACGGTGTATTTTAAAAGAAAAATTAACAATAAAAGCGTTTCATGACGTTTCGATGACTCAAGGTAAATGTCAATTTCATTTGAATGTATTTTCTCACTTCCATTTCTGTTTACTGATAAAATTATTTCAATTAATTTAATCGCAAGACAAACAAAAAACGTTAAAGCCAAGACCGCAAGGTAATATTGGATTTTTATGACGTCTTGCTTGTTATCGATGCCGCCACCATGTAGCGAACTTATGGAGATGGTTGGAAGGGTTTTACGAAACTACGACGGCAATGGCAACGAGAAATCAAAGCACAGGTGACCCAGGCTTAGTGATAGTACCACAGTAAGAATCCTGTAAAATAACATTATTTGTGTGACGGAAAGTTACGATTATAAAATTTGTGGGAAGTACAGAGTAAAAGACAATGAAGCTTACTCTGCAGTTAGTTGTTGTTATCTTAAATGCTTACTGCAGAGTTTTGTGAAATCTGTTCATATTCTCCCTCCATATAATAAAATACCCAAGGCAGGCAGATGGCGATGAAATGTCAGCGCCATTAGTCCCTTTCCGACACAACTCTTTTACAAAATTCGAACTTCTACCACGGTAAATACACACGGTAGGCTCGTAGAAATAGGAATACCTCGGATATGGAAACCAATGAAGCTTCCTCAACTCTCGAAACGAACCCTGGGAAAGAAGTTGGTGGTGTTCGTGAACTCGAAGAAGAGAATGGTCGGCAAGGCGTGTGCTGAAGTGACTGGCACAGATCAAGGCTAGGCCGGGCAAACGAGGCCTGCTGGGCACTCTACAAAATCAATCACTCGGTGACCTATTGGACGTCATTGGCCACTGTTCAAATTAGCCAATAGTACTGAATCCCCAATGCAAATCCCGTAACTTGGAACCGGAAATGATGACGACTGTGGTCTTCATGTGGGTCTGCATGTAGTAAAAATGATTAAAACAAGTTTTGATTAAGCATAGAAATCAATGACAATACAGACTGATCTAAACTACCCATATCACCCTGTGGTGTTGGCTTTAAGGCGTTTTGCTTTTCTTCCGACAACGTTGCTTGAAAGTGCTGTATGTTTTTTGTAAAACCAGTTTTCAGGTTAAACCAGAATTCAACCTAGATTACCAGCGTGAGAAAGCCTAAGCGTAAAGCTAACCGTAAACTTGGAAACTGGTTTTTAAAAATGTTTATTGGAACGAATTTTGTATTGTTCATTTCCAATGGCATTGTTCGATTAGTTGTTTTGTTTCTGTTCAGTAAACAAAATAGGACCACTTTCATATTTTTTTATTTCTTTTACTCTTGGTGAAACCTCATGAGCAAAGCGTAATTTATCAAAGCGCGTCAATTTTTTTTTTAATTTCAGACTTACAAGCTTAACCGTGTACATTGTTCGAAGATAATTAAGAGCTCACTTGCAAATTATTCCTCAAACAGGATTAATGAAGAATCTTAATGCTTTGAGGTTTTACCTAGGGGAATTCGGTAGGTTAAACAACAAAAGGCCGAAGTTAATTATAGGATTGGTAGCTGGTTCTTTGTGATTTTCAGAGTCCTGTTTACATTAATTGCTGATGTACAAAATTACAGTCTTTAAATGTTACAGAATGATGTAGCTGAGTTAGGTTGCTCCAGAAAAGCCCTCCTGGTTGACAGAAAACTAAAAAGGCGTCCCATAAAGTAAACCCTTTTTGTAAGAGTGACGCTACTACTTTCCAAGGGAGTCCTTCTGCTTTGAACTTCTTCATGTTTTGAAAACAGCTTCAAGTCGTCACCCATTTCACACAGCAGTCTCGTCTTCTTGTTAACTTAGTTTTAATTTTGCAGATTTGGTAAAGACACCTATTTGAAGGCAAACGTTTCTCTCTTCTTATCACTGAACAAGCTTGAAAAAAGGTGAGATTAGTTTGAATTTATTTAGTTTACCTCTAGAGCTGTAACAATTTGTCATGGATGAAATCTGTTGGCAGTAAGTTTTTACCTTCAACACCAACGCTCTTATATCACTGTGTTACAAAGCATCTTCAACAACTGTCGTGTCAAAGTGGCGCACTTAGAAAAAGGTCAGTTTTGATCTGGCCAGCATACAGCTCACAGAATATTAAATGAATAGCCATGCGTACAGGACATCTCGACACATACAAGAAGAAATGTCTGCCTGGTGTTTTAGATGAAGGCCAATTTCAGATGTAGATCTACGGAGACTTGTCCCGGAGTCACTGAGACATGCATTCAGCAAACAGTATCAAAGATTCAAGAGAACTGCCGGTTGTCATCCGTCTTTTATAATAAAAATGAGAACTGTGTTATATCGAGTGCGCCAAGAATTGTCATGTTCCCTCTTGACATGAGGTAATCAATATCGAATTGTTTTTATACAAAAAGTTACTATTCTATTTAATCTGACTGAACAAGTCCACAAAGGGAAAGACAGGACATTGACGCATTGACATCAAGTATATTGTCATGCCGGCTTTTTCAATTTTGAATTTCAAAGTATTTCCTCCCTACTTCGGCGATCAATTTATTCCTGTCGGCTTCGAAAGTAAAAACTATATTGCTAAAGAAAGGAATGATGTATAAACAGTGCAGGAGTAAAGGGTATTATTAGAAAAAGGATCCGGAATGGTCTTAATTGAAAATTGAATACCGCCGTCATGGAAAACAATCACATAAATTATAAGTTAAGTATTGCGCCATACGAACGATGGGCTTTTAAAGTCCCTACAACACAAAAACCGAGAGATTTATACTAGATATTCTCGCCACTCGTGATCAACTTATAATGGGCGTTATCTTTTTCCTTTTTATTGTTAACTTTTGCTCACTGTGAGTCAAAATAAATAATACATACACCAGATTCAATCACGATTTTTAATTTGTCTTACAACTCCCTCTCCCCAGGTAACTAAAATAGCTTTTTATTGAATCATAAAAGGCAGCATATGTATTTTGTGGCTGTCTTTGTGGCTGTCTTTACTGTAATTAAATTACCAATTCAAGAGTTTAATTATAGTACTGCCACTTTCTGAGTCAGATTTCTTTCAGCTACGAAATCATAAAAAAATTAGAACTCTTCGAAAGGGCTTGGACTGAATTTGTGGAGGATACAGGTAAGTTTCTTCTCTAGTCTCAGAGCAAATCGTGCGAAAGATCCCATGACTTGTCATTACTTTTTAAATAAAAAGGCAATAAAGAAAATGTTGCTTATAATTCATTTCCTTTATACTTAATTTTTTTCTGTTACAGAGAAAATTCTTCAAAATCAAAAACGAAAATGAACCAGTCTGCCAAGAACGCAACAATTACTTTGCCTGTGGCTTCACAAGACTCTCTTCTTCCGTGGTTCATCACATTTGGAGTGGAAGCGTTCGTTATCTTTGTTGGAAACCTGGTAACAATTTTAGCATTTGGCACAAAAAAGTCTGCTAAAAAGGGCAAATTTTTACTACTTATTAATCTTGCAATCGCGGATCTGTTGGTGGGAACTATCCCCTTGCCACTGTATTTAGTTTATCTAGGAGGGGAATTGACATACTGGAAGATTCGTTGGGCGCAATGGTTGGATATAACCCTGTTTGGTATAGATATTTTGCTGGGATTTGCATCCATTATGACATTAACAGTGATATCTCTTGAACGTATGTATGCTGCAGTGGTTCCCGTGGGCTACCGCAGTCTTAATCCACGACATTATTGGTTTTCCATCGCTGTTATCTGGTTTGTAGCTGCGTCTACTGCGGCGGCCTGTTTGGCAAGCAATTATGTGCTTAAATCACTGGAAATTGCGACATATGTCTCCATGACATTACTGAGCGTGCTTTGTACTGTGATCAGTGTATCATACATTACCATATGGCAGAGAATTAAATCTAAAAGAAGGAACATGCGAAAGAAAACAAATGAGTATGAAAACAAACTCGCATTAACATTGTTTATAGTAACAGTTACGTCTCTGGCTGCTTGGCTTCCATTTGTAGTTGTCAACGTTCTGTATGTATTTTCTGTCGTCAAAATGAGCTTCAGTTTTGTCTACTTCACCAAGGTCCTTCACTATGGCAACTCGTTTGTTAATCCAATCGTGTACACCTTAAGAATACCAGAGTTTCGCCAATCTGTTATCAAGATGTTCAGTGCTCGCGTGAGTCACAGAAAACTTCCTTCTTTTCACCAACCTTCTAATCTTGACACAGTCACTGAAATAGGACCTGGTACTTCCCAATCAAATAAAAGTACTAGGACGGGAGCTACCTTTAAAAACACTATGGTCATGTGGAAAAAATCTGCTGAATATCGCGAAATTTCTGTTCTGCTTGCGGAAGGCAATGGAAACTCCATAACTGACCAGTGCGTTCATGATTAACAACGTTTCATAAGAGGGCACGAGCTTCTTGGTCAGCGAATGGTATTCGAAATTCAAAGCGTACGCTCTCCAAGGGTGGCATACCCAGAGTTCTCTCCGTCAACAAGCGCACGCTAGTAGTGGATAAGGCACCGAATTATATTGCTATAGTCTTCTGATTAGATATTGTTTGCTGTAGTCTTCTGATTGGATATTGTAGAAACTGTTATATGTGTTCAAAATAAAAGCTGGCAAATTTTGAACGTGTTATCCTTGCAGATTATACTAAATGAAAAATCTTTAATCATTAAATTATTTTCACTAAAAATCGGTTATAAACAAAACCAAGACGCGGAGGTTAACTGAAAATCTTTTTACTGCGAGCAAGCTCTCCCTATTTCAAAAGAAGGGAAAAGGAGGTTAAGCTTGAATGCGAAATGCGAAATACTAATTTTTCAGGCAAAACATGAAAACGAGGTCGAAGCTCAGCGAAGCGAAAAACTGCCTATCAAGCAAAAATGTCAGTCTTTGTTTACTTGACTCTGTAAAAAGTATTGCACAGGGTATAAAAATTCTATAGAAAACAACAGGTGGTTCTAAAGTAAACCCTAACTCTTTTGGTTCTTGAATAAACTCCATTCTAGTAACGAATAAGTGGAAAGTCTATTTAAAAAAAAGATAGCAATAAGAAGTGCGATCGCCTGGCAATACATGTCTTCTTATTTAGTGCTAAAAATCGGATATATAAGCAAAACACACACACACACACATACACAAAGTGGAGCTGAAAACTCTCTATTTCAATTTCGACTCACCATTACAAAAGCGTGTTCTCCGTTCCATCTCGAGGAAACGACTAACTATTGAAGTCTCAGCCCTTTCGCTTGATGAGCTTATGGTCTTGCGCGCCGTTAGTCAGTTAATTATGCGAGGTCACAAGCTCAAAGTTGAATACAAATTAGTTGATCTCTACAGCGAGACCCAAGGGAGCACCTTGACGTATTATTATATAAACAATTTTAAATAACTTAACAAGGATCAATTTGAACACGCGACTAATAATTGCTAGCAATAATTATAAAACCACAAGAGAGATACCGTTTTAAAAACTTTATTAAAAGTCAATAACAAAAAGAGTCAAATACAAAGCGATTTGAAAGGAAAAGGAATGAAAATTAATCCTTTGACTGACTATTACAAATCAGTTTTTTTTTTCCGTTCTATTTCGAGGAATAATAAATAATCCTTCCGTGTCTACACAATTTTCCTATGGCCTCGAAGCCAAGAGTTCGACTTTCTTTGTTTCTTGCGCTTTGTCTTGTTCTTTGTAGTCGGTCTTTTAGCTTTTGCTTCAAAAGAGGCTTCATTTCTCTGTGATCTTGACAGTTCGCAGTACACCATTTCTTGTGTCTGTACTGGATTGCGATAGTGATTTTTTCCGGAATTATCCGCTTCACTTTCGTTAACGACGACTTTGACTTTAGGTTGCAGTTTCGCCTCTTGTAAATACTGTCTTCGCTGTGTGTGGTCTAACTGATGAACATCCGCGAGATGGTTAGCTAATCTGACAAGGTACTTCGCCCCACACGATGAAATAGGACAGTTTCTGCAAACTCTCTTGTATTAAAACAATGTTGACAGTTCGATTGCTGAACACAAATGACATCTTTTTTCGCAAATAGTCAGGTTATATAGAGTGTCAGAAAGGCCAAACACAGGCCAGAAAGGCCATAACCAGGCCTGAAAGGCCAAAACCAGGCCAAAAGGGACAAAAGGAGACAAACGGGCCATTTCTAGTCATAAGTCTTTATTTTCTCAAACACACGCGTGGGTGTCGCGCTCCGCTAGTCACGCAGCAGCTCTCAACATTGGAATCATCATCTTTATTCAGGATAATCACAAATAACAGTGCCTAATTAAAAACGTTTTGATCGAGAATTAGTAGTGGGTATTTCAAATTTCAGATTTTTTTATTTATTGTATCAGTTTACTAGTATTTTTATTATTTTCAAGTCAGCAATAAAACACTCTTAAAGTTTGGTTGTTTACAGTTTTTATTGAAACGCAACAATACAAAGGTCTAGGAAAAATAATTCTATAACATTCATAGTTGGACTAGTCTTCATCTTGTGGAATGGGCTGTTTTTGATACAGTCGATTGAGTAGGAAGTTTCGCTTATCGATCGCTAGTTCTGTCGATTCCAACCAATCGAATCCTTCTGTATCTTTTAGTTCTTTTTGGGTTTCAATCACTTTTTTGAAGATGGGATCTTTTTTCATTGCACACATCCACTGTAGATTCTCTAAGAGTACTTTTCTTAGCTCTTTTCTGTAAACAGGAAGAAGAGCGTTCTCGGCTTTCACGCGGGCCACATTTTCTGAATCTCCGTTCCCCTCGTAGTCATTGATCAATGCGTTGAGCTGGGTCTCATGGCGTTTCTCGGCTTCATCAAGAATGCGTAACCAAGGCGCTAAGTTTTCTGTTTCTTCTTGGGAAGACTCCGTTTCTTGGCTAGAGACTTCGCTTTCTTGGGAGAAATCGCTGTCTTTTCCAGCTCCTTGTTGAAGGTATAATAAGGTATAGCCTGTGCTTGTCATCTTTGGTTTGAACCGCACGCGTTCTGATAGGAAACTAAACTTCAGAAAGCAACGCGTCTCTTTTATAGAAAATTGGTGAAGGCGGGGTTTGGCTAAGCGTTCTCTTTCGTAAATAATACGTGCATCCACCCCACATCGACCTACACTTAACAAAACAAGGCCAAACGAACTTTAAATAAAAAAATCTGAAATTTGAAATACCCATTACAAATTCACGATCAAAACTTTTTTAATTAGGCACTGTTATTTGTGATTATCCTGAATAAAGATGATGATTCCAATGTTGAGAGCTGCTGCGTGACTAGCGGCGCGAGAACCCCCGCGTGTGTTTGAGAAAATAAAGACTTATGACTAGAAATGGCCCGTTTGTCTCCTTTTGTCCCTTTTGGCCTGGTTTTGGCCTTTCAGGCCTGGTTATGGCCTTTCTGGCCTGTGTTTGGCCTTTCTGACACTCTATATGACCTGACTATTTGCGAAAAAAGATGTCGATTGTATTCAGCAATCGAACTGTCAACATTGTTTACAAGAGAGTTTGCAGAAACTGTCCTATTTCATCGTGTGGGGCGAAGTACCTTGTCAGATTAGCTAACCATCTCGCGGATGTTCATCAGTTAGACCACACACAGCGAAGACAGTATTTACAAGAGGCGAAACTGCAACCTAAAGTCAAAGTCGTCGTTTACGAAAGTGAAGCGGATAATTCCGGAAAAAATCACTATCGCAATCCAGTACAGACACAAGAAACGGTGTACTGCGAACTGTCAAGATCACAGAGAAATGAAGCCTCTTTTGAAGCAAAAGCTAAAAGACCGACTACAAAGAACAAGACAAAGAGCAAGAAACAAAGAAAGTCGAACTCTTGGCTTCGAGGCCATAGGAAAATTGTGTAGACACGAAAGGATTATTTATTATTCCTCGAAATAGAACGGAAAAAAAGCTGATTTGTAATAGTCAGTCAAAGGATTAATTTTCATTCCTTTTCCTTTCAAATCGCTTTGTATTTGACTATTTCAATAGTTAGTCGTTTCCTCGAGATGGAACGGAGAACACGCTTTTGTAATGGTGAGTCGAAATTGAAATAGAGAGTTTTCAGCTCCACTTTGTGTATGTGTGTGTGTGTGTTTTGCTTATATATCCGATTTTTAGCACTAAATAAGAAGACGTGTTGCCAGGCGATCGCACCGTCTTATTCCTATCTTTTTTTTAAATAGACTTTCCACTTATTCGTTACTAGAATGGAGTTTATTCAAGAACCAAAAGAGTTAGGGTTTACTTTAGAACCACCTGTTGTTTTCTATAGAATTTTTATACCCTGTGCAATACTTTTTACAGAGTCAAGTAAACAAAGACTGACATTTTTGCTTGATAGGCAGTTTTTCGCTTCGCTGAGCTTCGACCTCGTTTTCATGTTTTGCCTGAAAAATTAGTACGATTTCGCATTCGCTTAACCTCCTTTTCCCTTCTTTTGAAGTAAAGATTTTTCAGTTAACCTCCGCGTCTTGGTTTTGTTTATAACCGATTTTTAGTGAAAATAATTTAATGATTAAAGATTTTTCATTTAGTATAATCTGCAAGGATAACACGTTCAAAATTTGCCAGCTTTTATTTTGAACACATAACAGTTTCTAATTTCTACAATATCCAATCAGAAGACTAGAGCAAGCAATATCTAATTAGAAGACTATAGCAAATAGCTAATTATATAAAAATCACTTTTCTGTTTATAGATTATGATCTCAACATTTTTTGATGACGTCAACTCTAGGAAATTTTGACGTCACTTGCTCCTTGCCAGCTACAAGTAAACTATGACATCATCCTATCTATATGACATGCATGACGTCAGCCAGCTAAAAATAAACTATGACATCATCCTTTCTGAATGGAATGCATGACGTCATCGGCATTAATTTAAAGTATGACATCACCCCATCTTAATGAGATGCATGACGCCATCTACGTCAATTTATACCGCACAAAAAGTTAATTAAATCCGCAAAGAAAAGGTTAATTCGGTGCCTTATCCACTACTCACGCTGGGAAGGAGTCTTGGGAAAAGCTTCAAAAGTATAAATTTCTTCTTTTTGCATTATTTGTAACATTGCTGTGTAGTTCGAGTAAATTTTTAGCAAGTATGATTCCGGTGGGGTGTGATTCCATTCCACATTACCGCTGACCGTTAATCTTCAATATGAAGCAATAAAAACTTTTACTTGGTCCTAGAGCTCGGGGATAAAACAAAAGGTGAAATGTGTTATTCATCCCTGACAGTCAAGCCTCGACTTATTGGTCTATTTAGTGCGCCACTCTTTTGGCTCAGCATTTAAAGGGGCTCAGGTGCTTTCACGGCTGCTGTCTACTTCATTTTGACTTATAAGTGTCCTTATGCCCTATGGAATTTAACGCCAGCAAAGAAACTACTTGTAAATGGCAAAATTACAGCTTCTTCTCCAACAAATATACCGGAGTCTAAGCGTTATATCAAACGTTACAAACAATGAGCTGAGTTATATCAAACGTTAAGCTATTAATTAACCCCCAATTCCAATTCGTTTTAATCTCCTTCAAGTTTATTCATCTGTGCCTTCTTTTGTGCTTAATAATAATAATGTTAAAAATAATATAGGTTCTTATTAAGCGCACTTCTGTCCCAAATGCGCTTTACATTACGATAAGAAAAAGAGAAAGAAAAGGAAAATCTTTAGCCTATGTGATATATTATAGATCAAGTATAGTAAACTTTAAAATACTAAAACAAAAAGTGTTAGGTACAAAAATCAGTGGAAATATTTACTGAATAAAAATGTTTAAGTTTTGTTTTAAAGATAGCAACACTGTCTGCATTTTTGACATCTTCTGGGACAGTGTTCCATAACTGAGGGGCCGCAGTTGAAACGCGCGTCCTCCATATGTTTTGGATTTTATGACTGGGGTGCATAAAAGAGAACTGGATGACGACCGTAGTGCTCTTAATGGATGATATTCCTTAATCAGAGGTTCCAGATATCCAGCAGATTGTCTATTCAAGATGTAAATTAATATGTGTTAAGAAGAATCTCTTAACGTTAATCCTTGCTTTCACAGGTAGCCAATGCAGGCTCTTTAATATAGGTGTTATGTGGTCAGAACTGCGGGCTCCTGTTATCATTCGAGCTGCGGTATTCTGAATTCTTCGTAACTTATCTCTCTGGCATTTTGGGACGTCGTATATGAGACTATTGTAATAGTCGAGTCTGGAAATCACAAGGGAGTTCACCAACATTTTCAATCCATCGAAAGGAAGGTACTTTCGAATACGACCAATTGATCTTTTGGCATAACTGGCTTTCTTGCACATTTCGTTTATATGTTCACTGAAAGACAAGGTTTTATCCATGATGACACCCAAATTCGTGGCTTTCGTTTTCACTTCTACTGGGGTGTTAGCTAACGATAATGTTTCGTAAACTGTAAGTTAATTGTTGAAAAGCGTCGTGAAATGTAATATTTCAGTTATTCCAGGATGGCACTCATATTCTTAGTGTTCCATGTAAAAACATCATTGATTTATCCCCTTAAAACACAGACTGAGTCAATGGAGTGTTTAGGATCGTCGATGACGAAGTAAATTTGGATGTCGTCCGCATAGAACATGGAGTTGAGACTGTGGCTACGTATAACATCTAGGAGAGGTGCCGTATAAAGAGTGAACAGCAGCGGCTCGAGAATAGAGCCCAGGGGAACGCCATACTCTAGACATCGTGGCGAAGATGTTGCATCCATTATGGAAAATCGCTGAGATCGGCCAAGCAGGTAAGGGGAGAAACATTTAAGAGCGGTTCTGTGAAATTGAAATATTTTTTTAGCCTTGTGAGAAGAATTTGATGATGCAGGGTGTCGACTGCTGTGGATAGATCAAGAAGTACAAGTACTACTTCACCGTTGGAGTCGAGAGTCTTTAGGATGTCATCATACCTTCTTTTTTAGCGTACACTTTTATGTTTTACTCAATTTGGTAGCAGTTCCTACAGGTTAAATTTGGATAAATTTAGTGACACAGCTCATTAAGTGAGAAACGAACTGGCGGTAAGCCTTATGAGGTCTTTATAATGGTATTTTCCCTAGCGCAAAATATTTCATACAAAAAAAAAATTAAAAGGTTCTAACAATTTTGCATTTCGCCCTGCTTGGCGTGCAAAATGTTCTTTTAAACTAGTAGTGGTCATGGGCGGCTTTTTCCTTTACATGTAAAGATTATATCAACGCTTTCAGATGAACTCCAAAAGTATTGTAGATAATTTTATTACTATGTAGCGGTTCTGTTCATGTGGTGTGTGTGTTTGTGTGTGTGTGGAAGGGGGAGGGGTAGGGGGTGAGTTACGATTTGCAGTAGACCTTTTTACCGATACGGCGGCCATATTGAATTAATTCGATTTAAAGAGTATAATAGGATGCCCAGGGGGCATGAGCACATTTCGTTTGTATTTTCGAGCGCTTTTCGGGACATTTTTTCTTTAACTTTTCTTAGAATAAGATTCTAAGATGCCGTGTTTGGATGTAATAATGGTCGCCTTTTTCTAGTGCAGTGTTAAAAATATGGTCTTTCACTGTATATTTCTCTGGAAAAAGGCGATCATTATTACATCCGAACACGGCACAAGGTTTTTTTTTCCCATTACAATCTTATTCTAAGAAAACTTTAAGAAAAAATGTCCCGAAAAGCGCTCGAAAATACAAACGAAATGTGCTCATGCCCCCTGGTCATCCTATAATATTCCTTAAATCGAATTAATTCAATATGGCCGCCGTATCGGTAAAAAGGTCTATTCTATAGGGGTTTGGATCCTATCTATGTTTTTCACGGAAGGAAAATGAGGGCATTGTGTTTCTTCTTTGCTATTCATTTCATCCTCGCCGTGCCCTCCCTAAACCATTTATATCTGTTTCTTTAAAGTTTCATGTATTTTCAAATTATGTTTATACTGAGCTGACATATGTATTTAAATCAAAGCGACCGAAGAGGGAAGAAATAGGAAATTTAAACACAAAAAAGAACCCAACGTTCTTCCTTGTTTAATGCACTATCTAGTACCTTTTAAATGTCATATAACTCTAATTATGAGTTTTTAAGACTTTCCACAGTTAAACTACAAAAAGTGACACTTATTTCACTGGAATATTGTAAATGAGCTTATCCCTAGAAAGGAAAACCAAAAAATAAGTATGATAATGAAGAAATTGCGTCAACTCCGACATTGACTCCGAGTCATAACATTACAAACATCCTTTCTAGCTCGTGACAAGCTATTTATGATTTCATTAAATGTCGTCAGGTTTAACTTGACCAAGTCCCTGCAAGAATAGCAGCGTCAATGATACTTTCATACAAACTGTTTCTCGGGAGCTGAAACTGACAAAGGCCATTACAAGAGCGTAATAATAAACATCAAGGTCAAATCAACCTGTAATAGAGGTTTCTACAACAACTACTTTGATGTACTTCACCCCCACCCTTTCGCCACTGTCACTTTTGTACACCTCTAAGGAAAGCCCCTTGCTAAACTTAAGTCGGTTGTTGTACTGTGTGGTTTTGGTATAGCCTCCATCATTAGCAGTGTAGCATGAGCCCCACCGCTCATTTAGATGCAGAGTAAAATCAAACAAACCCGGGTAATGAGAGTCACTAGTCTTGAACGATTTATGATCAATATGTCGGATAGATGACAGGGAAACCCCTGGGACACCCTCCACCCCATAACAAGGAGCATTGTCTGCGTAATCTCCTTTGTCGCAGACTTCAAACCCAACAAATCGACTGCCATCAGAAATGCCGTATCTAATATCACTGTCAAATGTGTTTCCGATAGTGACGTCATGAGCAACGGTTATTTGCACAGTTAGCAGAGTCGAATCTTGCAATACACCAGCAGCGACAAGGGGAACTTTAAGTAGAACAACATCCATTACTGAGCCTGCGTTGAAAGTCAGTTGAGCAGCGGATGCGGTATGCTGGCAGTCAATATGAGATGCATTCGTCTCAAGCCATAGAGGAGTCATGTGGAATACCCTGAGGAGTCCCTGTAAGTGAAATCAGAATCTTACAAGTAACAATAATCAGGTCTAATATTGTGAATGATTGAATTAGCGGCCAACTCCAGAAAAGCATGCCCTCAAATAACATTTCCTATGAAAACTATGAAACAAGGGCACTTTTTTAATAAACCCCTTTGATAGAAATAAGTTGTTGAATTAATCAATTAACGGTGAAAGTAGATACATTGAAAGCCAATGTAAATTTGTACCGCACACCTACACCAACCCACAGCCTGGCCATTACCTCAGGCATGCTCACAGCCATATCATCCGGACAGTGGCAGCCATGGATAGCTGCTTTGCCCTTATTAGAGCTCATCAGCATGGCATAGCCGTCGGACCTAGTGAACGGACGAAGCCGTGTATTAAAGGCCCTTTCAGTTACTACGGAGGTGAGCGCAAAGCACTCCTTTAAGTTATAACCTGCCTCAAGCTTACTAACGGTTTAATAGAAATCAGACTTCAGCCCTTTGTGGGTATTGAAATAACCCTGGGAAAAATCCTCTTTGGGACGAGGTTAGGTTTATTGACCGAATCGTGTATATGCTTTACTTTATACATATTGATGTTATTGTGATAGTAATTTTCAAGATTTGTATTTTCTTTTAAGTTTCGTTTTTGTTTTATTAAGTGGTTCAAGGTTACTCTTGAGTTTTCCACATAGGTGTTCTCCTCTTTTCATCTTGTGTTTTTAATACTTGTTGAATTTTTGCCTGCAAACTCGAGGATTTACTTAATGCCATTTTAGGAATATTGTTCGCTTGCCACTGACAGATGCTAGTTTTTCATTGGTGGTCCTGTTTGTCATGTCAGAGCTGACCTTGGTTCATTTGTCTCATTGAAGTTCCTTTTGGGTTTGTAGCTTCTTGCCAATCACAACCACGTAGGTTCAGTTATGTCAAAACTGGCTCTTGCCCACACCCAGTTCATCTTGATTATATTCCGACGGTCAGCTAACCCGAGCATGTCCAGCTTTGGCCGTAAAAACCGTTACCATACTTGAACTAGTTTAATAGTAAGGATTGAATAGAGGAGAAGAGTTAGAAGATTCAGATTAAATTTGTTAGCAGATGTCAAAGAAGAATAAGGACCAAGATATAATATCATTTTCCTAGTAGCTCATCGCGTAGCGAGCGAGTTGCTCGAACACCCCCACAATATGTAGAAATAGGACTGAGAGGTTTTTCAGAAAGCACATTTTATCATGAACACTTGAAAAGCAAACCTGGAGCACTAAGTATTATTGTTAACTGACGCCAAGCTCAAAATTGAAATTGATTGTGATAAGAAGTTTTGAATATATATTACCTCGCTACCAAATTGTTCTGGCTGATGTACAGGGATACAGAAAGAGTCATTTGGAATAAGCTGCACCTGCGTGGAGAGGACAAAGATAACGTATCAACAAAATTCTGTTAGATAAATGAGTCATGGGGTAGGATTTCGTTTATGATGGTTTTTAGTGACCAGCGAATTCCGATTTCCCACGTTACGCTTGTGAATCTAAGCAACTGAGAGCTAAAGAATAAATTTAAGCGACATTCTGTTTAATAGTCATGAATCAAAGAAACCTTCGAGGGCTAATGTTTTCCGGTAAATTGGAATATTGTTCACATATTTTCCTGCTGTTTTTCGTAATTTTACTTAACTCTGACAAACGTCGCGATCAATAACAGCAAAGAAACTATCGTGAGAGACAAGCCTATTTTAAACAAAACACGATGGGAAATATTTTATATTGTTCATAGGATAATATGCTATGATTCTAGACTAAATATAAATAAATATAAATGAATATCATATCAATTCAGTTTGATTCAGATAAAAAAAACTCTTTTAATAAAAGAAGACGATAGCTTGTAAATTTGAAGTATTATTATAGTCGTGGCTTTCCCATAAATTTTCGGCACTGTTAAGATTCCGTGAACAATTTGCATTCGCCTCCCCCACTTTCTTAAATAAACAGGAACTTTTGAATCCTTTAAACGAACGAAGTTTCGTAGAGCATTGTTGGGTCAAAGTTACAAATATAAATTGTCGAATTTTAACCCTTTTTTCAGGGTGTTCTTTCAGGGCAATACTACTAAAGGGTGGTCTTCGCGGCCTTGTAGTCTCTACTAAATCTCTCAGCAACCTGGGATTTGTAACTGACTGGGGTTAAAGAGAATCTTCTTTTGGCCATTTAAAACCAATAAAGAAACTTACCTCGCTTTCAGCGGCTGCGTGTAGTAGAATTAGGCTGATAAATTTGAGAAAAAATGATGAGCAAAAAAACATCTTTCCAGAGATCATTTGAGACTCCATGGTTGCGGCAGGAAACGTCGGCAAATTAGAGATCTTTACAGTATTCATATTAATCAAAAATGACTGGCCTCAGTCTCATGTAAATCTTCTTCCATGCCCCAGCTTCAAATGAAACATATCTTCATTGATATCAATGATCAATTACAAAATTCTCTTTGCGTGCAGACAAAGATTGCTATGAATTTTATTTTATGAGAATATCATTAACAGTTTCAATAATTTATCATCTCCATGTTTGATCTCAGTGATTACTGTCCTAGGTGCATAAAGCTTATATGTAAACCCAGCTGTCTGTGTTTAAGAGGATAAAAGCTGCTCGATTCACACGCTGCTTTATACATAGTCCAGTTCTAGCGCCCACCGCACCCCACCCCCGCGCCCTTCTCTCTCTCTCGCTCTCCCTGTCGGGCAACGCGTATGTCTCATATTGCATCTGCCAATAAAACGACGGCAGAAAAAACCTTGTTGGAAAAACAAATTTAACAGACATAGAAACCATAAGGCTAGCCAAGTAAGCTTTAGTAATGTTTCATTTATATGGCTGCAATAAACTTTTTGCTTTCAATGTTGTTTATTAGAAATGGTCGCTTTTGAAATACAGATTACCCAGTTTTAATACTGAAAAAGTTTGAGTCTTCTTTACCGACAAAATCCTGGACTGAGAGCGCAATATTATTTTCACAACTGAATTTTTCAGTTCAGCTCAACCGAACGTTACCAGCCACAATGTATTATTTGATTACCAGCAAAAGCTCAAGAAAACTTTGAATGCTTGAGGTCATGCTCATTCCCCCCCCTCCCCACCCCCCCCCCTCCTTCTCCAGGATTTTCCCGAACTTTATAATTGCTATGTTTTGGCATTCTGTCGGAATTTTTTGGAATTTTTACAGATATCATCACTTCAGAACTGACGGGACATTTTCAGTAGTGGTGACCCCTCCCAAACCCTCCTCATTCCTATGATTACAGACCGAATTAGACTCCACTCAGTCCTATTCAGACCATTATTTATCGCATGAAATATGTCTGTGTATGTATAGCATAGTGAAAAAGACCAGAAAATGATGCTTACCCACCCAAAAAAAGTTCCTGCAGAAGTTATTACCCGAGAAAAAAATTCCTGCAAGCTGAATACTCCCCACCCTCCTCCCCAATCACTTCACAACATCAACAACAGCAACAGCAACAACAAAGCTTTATTTGCGTGACCATGCAAGTACATACAGTATTGCAAAAGATAATTATAATAATTATTTCTTAAGAATATGAACTAAATTTTAATCACAAGACAATTAAGCTGCTTTGTTTAAAATTTGTCGCGAAAATCAAAGCAAACTGGAATATATTTCATGAACATTATACGATACAACCCCGATAACTCTAACTCTCCGCTAACTCGGACTAAGTCCAAGTTCATTGATCAAAACATTTACACTAGGTAACTGGGTAATATTTGGAATCAGAGTCTTAACTTTATTGTAATTATTATTCCTAATCAGAGAGTATTTAGAACAATCAAAAGAAAGTGAATTTCGTCTTCTATTTGATTGGATCCACAAAAGGGTAATCCCTGTTATATCAGGTAGTTTGATTGTATCTACCACGTTCTGTCATTAGTTTTGTTGTTACTTATTCGTAATTTTACTAATTACCTTCTCTCATTTGTTCCTCTTGTTAAGTCTAGGTAATAAGAAAAAGGTATAATCGCTTTTAAAATATCTAATTAAGTTCTAGTTTTTGAGAGTGATGCGGGGTATTTTGCCAATATGATATGTATTCCTGTTACATTAAACATGCAAAGTGTTTTACTAATGCTGTATCTAATAAATGAGTGTTAAAGTCAAGTAGGTTAAAATATTCTGACATCTTCATCAAAGGCGATAGTCAAAGCTACTCTTACCATTGCAGTGTAAATCAAATGACACCAAAAAAAAAGATTGCATGACGAAATATTCTTCATCTTTAGGCTGAATATAATAAATTAAACAAAATATAGCTGAGGATTTTTTTATTGATAGTAATATTTAAAGGAAAGCAACCAAGTTTAGTTCTACAAGCTATATTAGAAGCCCTGTTGTTTACTTCTAAGTAACTTTTGCAATATTGAAGGTGTGTCTTTTCGATTTGGGAGCCGTCCCAGGGGCCCGTTTCTCGAAACGGTCCCGGAAACGTTTCGGGACCGGAAAGCTGTTTTGTGTTCGCCGTCAGTTGCATTCACGAAGTTTCAATAATTTTGAAAATAATACAATAAAACTATCAGTTAACAAAGAAAAATTGACTAGTCTGTGAGCTACAAACTGTACTACTATTCAACAGGTTTTGACTTTAAAATTTTCCTTTGGGTCCGAAAAGTTTACGGGCCTTTCGAGAAACGGGCCCCAGGTCTTAAAATCTGGTTTGGCATACACTCAAACTTCAACATGGTATTAAAGACTTTACAGGCAAGAGATGTTTTTAGTTCGCTAAGATTCGTGTGTCATCACTTATCTGATCATGGTTCGCCCCTTATCCCTTAGCTGGTGATATGTCCGGTTGATTTTGAACAACCGGAGCCAGAAGTAAACCAAAGTCAATCGTGATTTTTGGGATTACAGGCGTTTCCCGTGTTTTTCAACGACTACATAGCTAGATTGTTTATTAAAAATTATCCTTGGAGCCCGAGGGCTAACGTTTACACATAATCACCGTAACTACTTTTACAATGTACCTTAATGGCTGGTACTTTAGATTGCGATTTTGGGGTCCCTCATCCCCAGAAACCCCAAGAGAGCTTGCTCCCCAGCTAAATAGGTCTAACAGACCTAAGAATATTGTGGCACTGGTTAATAACAACGCGGGAAAATTGTCCTCTGAAAATCACTTTTTGGGAGTAAAAAAGTTGTTTGAAAGTTTGTTCCAAAGGTCACTGACGCGTGAAGGGGCATCTAGATAGTATAAGAGAATTCCAATACTATCATAAAGAGGAGATACCTCAGCGACGAGCCAGCGAGGAGTGCTGAATCTTGTTTACACCTGGCACAATTAATAAAAATAGTAAACTAACTTAATCAATTCAAAAATCACCCTCTGTACTAGGAAATTTAGATTTTTATGAGAAAAGAAGGAATTTTCGTCCATATAAGAGTTTTATAACGTTCCCCTTGGGCTCATCATTCTTTTTCCGATCCTTCTACATGGATCCAATTATTAACAAACGTGATGCGAACTACTGTTAAAAAGCATTATTTTTAAAGCGTTTGCCTCCGTAAAAGGAAAGCGCTAAGAGTTTTAGAATCAGAAGCAGTACTTTTTTTCAAAAAAAAAAAGTGCGTAAGTTCAAACTAGTTCAATTCTCTAGCAATGTTTACAAACGTGAAGTCACAAACCCATTCATGATTTGAACGGAGTGATCTGCCTGAATTTTCGGCCTGCATCGAGACAGCAATTCGTACACGGATACCTTGAAATGAGGGAGGCGGAGCCAGTAAATGATGGGATTTCCCAGAGAATTAAAGAAGTGCAGCAGTTTGACAGGGTTAACTATCCGTGCATCATCGTTGATATCAACGAAGAGGTTGATGGCGCTCATTATCATAAATGGAAGCCAGGCGGTGAACGAAACAACAGTTACAATAAAGGCGGTGACAGTGAAACGCTGGCTGCGACGTCGACAACGCTCCGAGGAGTTAGACAAGTTTTTGGAGATCTGTCTTATTCTGCACAATAAAATAAGGTAGGACACGGTGATAACAAGCAGGAGAGCTAACAAAAACGGCAACCACGCAAAAAAGGCAATCATAGGTGAATGGAAAACGTGGAAGCCCACCTGCACTAAGGACGATATTAAGATGGCGCATACCCAAGGGAATGCTATAAGGTAACTGGTAATTTTGCGTTTGTTGTGCATGTACTTCATCGGTGAAAGCGTTGCTAGAAGACGTTCTACAGCGATACAGCCGTGATTGGTCACTGAGACAAAGGCCGTTAGTATGTCTATGGTACTGTAGCCAATAGACACTACGGGAGGATAGACCCATTCTTGCGAGTCTCCGAAGTAGTATATTACCCAGCCTGGAATAACTATTGCAGCAACAAGCAAATCCGCAAATGCTAGGTTTGTGAGCAAAGGAGAGCTTTGCTTTTGTAAAGGCGTCTTCTTATCGAGGAAGGCAGCCATGGTCACCAGGTTTACAATTATCCCAAACAGGGCTTCGATGCTAAAAACCAAACACCAAGCGATGGTCTCCACAAACGCAGACTTGCTGTCCGTAACGTTTGATGGCATTTTCCACTACAAATAAACAAATTAGAAGGTAAATTTTAAGTTTCTTTACTCAGTCTTATAAAATCTGACAATAGAAACATGGTATGCAAACAGTTATGACTCGCTTCCCCCACGCTTCAGGCTCAAAGACGCCTCAAAATTTACCAAAACTTGAGAGTTGATATTTTCAACATTTTAAAATAAGTAACGATTACTTTACTGCAGATCACAATAGCTCACAATGATGATAGATGATTAAAACAATGGTCCCCTCCCATTCCACATTTATATATATGACTTACCAAATTGCTTAGAATGTACCACCCCCTGTTTATATGCGGACGATACCTAAACCTTTGCCTCTAGTACCGACGCAAATGTTCGTGCTAATAATATCAATTTTCATCAAGGAAACCTTTGTGATTGGATCACAGTTAATAGGCTGCAATTCCACCCTTTAAAAACTAAGTTAATCCTCATTGACTCGAGATATAACTTAAATAATAGATCTGAAGATTTACCTAATGCTATATCCATTAGCAATCATATTGTTTCGCATGAAAAGCTTACTTTTGAGACTCACATTTCCCTGCGAAAACATCCGCCTCTCCTCGCTCCTCGCCACTAAGGACTTTTCGCGACGAATAACGTCTGCGACTCAGCGACAGAAATTCTATACTGATGACGTAAAATCTGTTCGAAATCCGGTCAGAGGCACTGATTGGTCGACGGAGTAGCGGTTTTAGTTATTGTTTACGAATGACAGACAAAAGAGAAAAGGCCACGAAGGTCAAATGTAAAATGCGATGTATCTCTAACAAAACAGTCAAAATTTGTCGAATATATTCCT